AAACAAAAGGGATGCTTTGCAACGGGGGGGGGGGGGGGGGGGTTGCTTTGCTTTTTTTGGTTGGGTTTTTTGGGTTTGGGGTTTGTTTTGTTTTTTGTTTTTCGGGTTTTTTTGAGAGGTTCGGGAAACAGAACTCTGCAACTTAAAGACAGATTTTTGCCCTCCCGGCTCGTACTCCGTATTTCAGAAACTCTGCTTAAAGCGACTCGCATCCCTGCGTATATCCGCACATACACACTTAGGAACATCCATGTTCGGAATGCATACGCGCCCATAAATAAATACGTTAACACGCAGCGCAATTCGCACATCGCTTATGCCCTTTTCATACTGCTCTAACTCCTTTTACTTCCGCAGAGTTGAGTAACTTGTAACGGTGTATAAATAAACCCAAAATATACTTTCGTAGCCATGCATATTTTCTGTACGTTCAGTAACATAAAACAGTCTACTCGTATTTTCTTAGAGCTCTGCTGAAACACAAGGGGGTATTCAGAGCCGCAGGAAAAAATGCGTCCAAACAGGATCTGAATGATGAAATAGGAATTGCCACATTTAAAGAAAAAAAAAAAAAAATAGGATAACCCAGCTGCCCAGACCTTTAGAAAAATAACAGTTCGTCTAAGGTAGTGATGGGCTGCTTCTGCATGTTGCAGAAAGCAAAGCGAGCCACGTTGTCCAAAAGAAGCCTAGAAAATCCAGACTCTACGTGACCTGACTTACTTATTTCACAGGAAACTGCATGGAAGGAGGAAGGGGGGGAGGAAAAAAAGCCACCAATCATTCATGCTACCGTAGTTACACCACGCCATAGACTGGAGTAGTTCGCTGTGAAAAATCCAACTGAAATAAGCCATCGCCCGTTTGAAAAAATAAAAGGTAAGAAGAGAAGCTGTTAATGCAATCAAGCTGGGGAGCCCTGGCTCCCCAACCTCCCGCTTTTCTCGGGTGTTGGTTTTGTTATTTTTTTTTTAAATTTTGCCTGCATTAGAGCATCGTTCAAGAAGGTTTGCAGCAAAAAAACCCCCCAAAAAACCCCAAAAGCCACTCACCGGGGTTGTTGGCCTCCCCTTCGAGGATGTGGAGCTCGGTGCAGTCTGCCAGGGAGTGCTCCAGGCAGAGCTGGAGGAAGCGAGCCTGGGTCCGGCTGACGCGTTTCAGCAGCGAGAGCAACGCAACAGTCTGCTCGCACTCGTTCCAGCCCTTGAACCAACCGGCCAAGACGCCGACCTGGTCTCGAAACATCATGGTGAGCCGGCGGCCGGAGGAGACACCTCTGCGGGGGGAGAAAATAAATAACCGGGAGAGCCTCCCCGCCCCGACTCCGCTTCCTCCCCTACGCCTTGTGTCGGGATTAAAAAATAATAATAATAA